GACACCACGAAACAAACGATAGCGTAAAATGAAACGACAGACGTTTTTATATCGTCATCCGATATATATCGATATATCGAACAGCCCTATTCTTTAGTCACTTTCAGAGCATGTATTACAGTGGAAATGAGCACTCTGTACATTATAAATATCAGTCTGCTCACTTCAAGTGTTTAAAAAAGTGTTACTGCTAAACTGCTGTCACACAGTATCAGTGTTGGGGAGTAACATTTTAAAAGTAACCTTCCCAACACTGCACAGTATAATAGAATATATTGCCTGTCATCCCCTGTGCATCAATAATATGACTGATATTCTCTTGAATTATTTCCTCTGCTTGTTGTGTACAGCGTACCTGATGACTACATCGGTCGCAGAAATCTAGAACACGTTGAGGCCTTACAAGAGAACCCGGTCGATCCAGATCAGGTCATCATTGGCTATGGACGTGGCCTCATGGTCATCTGGGATTTGGAGAAAAAACTTGCCATCCAGCACATTCCTGCCACACAGGTACCTGTCATGTAACGTACGCCTGAACAGAACACCAGCTGCCAATATATAAACTGACTGAATACTGTGTAATCTAACCATAGCAACTGGAGAGTGTGTGTTGGACTGAGGACGGAAAGTACATTCTGAGTTCACACAGCGATGGAAGCTATTGTCGATGGATGGTGGGGGGGCAGGACACGAACGAGGAAGAGAAATCAGACATTCCTTATGGTAAAGAGGAAGCTCTCCACTGTTTTATTAATCATAAAGTAAAAAGGTTTAGGCCTCATGGTTACTTGTGTTTTATAATTGCAGGACATTTTCCCTGCAAGGCCATTTCTAAAATAGTTCAGCTCCCTACAGAAGAAGGGTAAGATGACGTCATCCACCGGTGAAATAAATCTTTTTGTCAGCTTCCTTCAGTGAAAGTGATGTCGTCACCTTTCTAATATTTAACTTCTCAGATATGTTATGTGAGCCGCTGTTACACATTAATCACTGAACAAATGGAACTGAACTTGAACCTTGTGTGTACGTATGTTTGCGTGTTTGTGTAGGCCTCCATTCCTGCTGTTCAGTGGTGGTATGCCCAGGGCCAGTTATGGGGACAGACACTGTATTACAGTGATCCATGGTAAAAAACACGTGGCCTTGGACTTTACCTCCAGGATCATCGACTTCTTCGTCATTAGAGATGGACCGGAGCACACAGGCAGGCCACACACCAACAAACTGGCAACAAAATTACAGCACATTTAAATATGGGACTCTTAAAGTATTTGACAGCATTGAAGATCTATGTTCCCCAGTCTCTGATGTTGTTAGGTCCTATAAAGAGTGCACAAACATACTAAATACACAGGGGAACACTGCTTCAGTGTTTAACTTACTTAAACTTTGTTACTTTGTTGCTGTGTAGAAGGACGCAGTTATAATAAGTGAACAAACATTAATGAACACAGTTTAAATGCCAAAACATATTAATCATGATATTGATGTTATTTGGGGGGAATACTCATAAACCAAATGTAGAAAAGACAAATGATGTCAAATCCCCCATTAGAAAAAAATAACACTCAATAACAGTCAAGAGTTTTTGGGCCTATCAGAAAGTGAATGACATCAGTTAATTGCTTTGAACCATGTAGTGCTATTTGTTATGTCACAATTGGCTAAAAAGTGATAACAAGTAACGGTAGGTGATGTAGTTAGTCAGATAAAAGAATAAACGGCTTTATTTGAAATTAACTGAGCTGAACATGAGATGTGTCAGTCAGTAGGGTTGGAATTTTGCATATGAGCTAGCTTGGTGAGTTAAATATTTGGATAAAAACAACAAAACAGTTTTACAGCACATGATCCTCAGGAGCAGAGGAATCGCTCTTTCTGAGGGAACAAGTAGAGCGTACTCTTATACCAACCAATACTGTACCCAGGTGTTCCCAATCTCTGATCACCTGACCACACCACACGCAGACAAAGGCTACGTTCACACTGCGGGCGAAAGCGCATCAAATCTGACTTTTTTGACCGTATGCGACCCATATCCATATCATATGAATGCTTCCTGGCCATCCAGTGTAGATGTTAGTGAAACTGTTGGGAAGACAACGTTGGAGGAACGTGAACATTTTATTTGTACTGTATAATCTGCAGATTCTGACAGAAATTTCCAACTATCTTTTGAAGCACCGCTCCTCTAAAACAGCAATAAGGATCATTATTAGGCCATTTGTAAATAACAAAATAACTTTATAACTTAAAGCAAAATTGGGAAACGTAAAGTCCAAAACAAGTCTTTATATTAAGGCCATCGGTCAAACAATACTGTTGCTCTGGGTCTAAACAGCGCGTTGTGTGTGACGTCTTCTTTTGCGCATGCGGGCGCTTGAGGGTTCACACTAGAGCGTGTTTGCTGTCACATTTTATTTGTAGTGTGAACGAGCAGACAAAAACATCGGATTGATCAAAAAATTGGAATTGAGCATCAAGACCTGCAGTGTGAACGCAGCCAAAGACAACTTGCCAGATAAGGCAAGGTTACCACAGTTTGAATTGACAAGGGTTTGTGTAAATTTGAACATAACTCTCTTGTGTAATTGTAATTTATTCATCACAGCAGCCCAGAAAAATGAGAGCAGTTTTGACAAGAGACACAAGCATATCCCAGATCTCAGTTTATTAGCTGCTGTGTATCTTCCTGCAGGAGAGCCCAGTGCCCTGGTTGTCCTGGTGGAGGAGGAGCTGATAGTTATTGACTTGCAGACTGAGGGCTGGCCCATCATACAGACTCCTTACTTGGTCCCCCTTCATAGTTCAGCCATAACATGCTCACATCATGTCTCCACCATTCCCCTCAAACTGTGGGAGAGGATCTTCGCTGCTGGAAAGCATCAGAATGCACACTACTCAAAAAAGGTAAATATCTTTGTAAATTGAAAATAATGTCCCGTCATATTTATATTTCTCTGACTGCATGACAGGTTTTCACTTTTTCTTTGAATCTGTAAGAACACAGGCTAAACAGTCACTCCATTAAGTGCCAATATTATTACTGATGGGAAATGTTACCACCGTATGAGACTCTAAAGAATCCCCTAAAAGGCTGTTCATCATAACTTGAATGGTGCATCTTGAATATAAGATGATGGTTGAGGACATCAAGTTTTCTTACTGTTTTCTTACTAATTTTCTTTCTTCGTGTCAGCCGTGGCCAGTAACAGGAGGTCAGAACCTGGCCCCAGATCCTCCACAGAGAGATCTGCTCCTCACGGGGTTAGTACGGTTGCCTTCATTCACATTTATTGAAAGGTCTTTTTGAAGTTGTAAAAATGATTCTAACGCTGCTGTGTATATAGGCATGAGGATGGCACAGTTCGTTTCTGGGATGCATCAGGAGTCTGTCTCTATCCCATGTACAAGCTGAGCACAGCTGGAGTATTCCACACAGATGCTGACCCCAATGACAACATGAACCAAGTGACTGAAGGAGAATGGCCTCCATTTAGAAAGGTATGTTTTTCTAATCTAATCTATAGAAAAGAACATTTTCATTTATATTTTAAGGTGAATATAAAGAAATGTCACAACACTGGGACTTATTTTAAGTATTATTCAGGTATTCTATCACAAATTCCATCAATTAGTTGAGTAATCGAATAATGATCAATGATCAATATTCAAATAGAAAAAACACAGGTCTTTCCAAATGAGCTGCTCGTTGGTTAGCATTTTATAAATGGCAAGGTTTCCAAGTTTGACCGCATATAACATTTCTCAACAAAACTAGAACTAGAATATTAGAATTTGTGTGTGTGTGTGTGTGTGTGTGTGTGTGTGTGTGTGTGTGTGTGTGTGTAATTTTTTTTTTGTTGTTGTTGTTTTTAAGAAAAAGTGTTCTTAAATGCAAAAATATTATCAATGGGCAATTTTGAATCACTAAAATCAGAATACTTGAATAATTCCTGAGTAAACTATGTATACATAACCCCACTAAGTGCATGTCTTTGGGCTGTGGGAGGAGGGCACTCCACACAGTAAGCTTCTGGCCAGATGGTTATTTAGAACCCAGGACGTGCTTGCTCTCAGGCAACCATGCTAATGAATTTATAATTAATCTTAATTAGCATTAAAATTAACATATTATTTTACAGTATTTTACTTTAAATTAACAGCAGTTATTTATTTTAAGATTTATGTCAAAGAGGAATGTTAATCAAGGTCTTGCATAGCAGCATATTAGGCAAAGCTGGAAGTAGAGGTGTTACTCTAAATTTCACCCTTGTCATGTTTCTGTTTAGGTTGGCTGTTTTGACCCCTACAGTGATGACCCAAGGCTCGGCATCCAGAAGATCCATCTCTGCAAATATAGTGGTTATCTGACTGTAGCTGGCACTGCGGGACAGGTGACTATTGAGAATTTTACAACAGACCTATGTCATGTTGGGCTAAGTCATATCTCTGATGTAGAGTAAGTTAAGCACTTAACTTACATCAGTAAGGTAAACTCTTACTTGTCAAGTTAGAGTTAAGTTTTAAGAATTATACTTTGCTAGTAAGTCAGTATATATGATAAAGCCTGCTCTTGACCTTTGACCTTCTGTAGAAGTTTGAGAGAAATTTAGATTTTTCTGTTGATTCTTACGCCCTCTTGCATATGTAGGCGTAGTAGAGCTTAAGAAGTCAGTTTTTTCACGCTCAGTGTTGAATTTATTTATATTCATAAACACTCTTTTCCCTCAACCAAAGCATCATGCTGCCACCACCATGCTTCAGTGCAGGGATTGTAATGGCTAGTTTCCTCCAGGCATAGTGCTTTGGCTTACAGGCTAAAAAGTTCAATCTTTCTCTTATGAGACCAGAGAATTTTGAGTCCTTTAGGTGCTTTTTGGCAAACTCCAGGTTGGCTGTCATGCTGTGTCATGTGTATCCAGTAAGACTCCCCCATGCTACACAAGCCTACCTTGGAATATATGCAAGAGAAGTGTAATTAAAGCTATACCGGCAGTGTTGAAGAACCAGAAGACAAGAAGGCATAAGTGCACAAGGTATGAGAATATGGGGTTGTTGGAATGCTACTACCAAGGAATCCCAGTGGAAGGGGTTACAGGAAGTGGATGTGGGACCTATGGAATCACACCCAACATCTAGACTAACAGCAAAAGAACTAGTAGCTCAGTGTTCAAATAGCTGGAAGAAACTACTCTCAACTAGAGATCAACGAGGTACAACACAAATGCTATGCCAAGGGTTGGCCAAAACGTCATTTCAAGGGGGGTGATGTCACCAGGTCCAAGTGCAACTTATCATACAATTGTGTGTGATAGGATCATGGCTGAACTGGAAAACTGGACCCTCTTTGGCTGATTAACTAAGAGTGCATAAAGTACCTCTTGAAGTTCTACAAGAAGATGTGAATGCAATATTACAGACAATCCTTATTGTCTAAGCTTGAAGGATAAAGACTGTCCGCAGACCGTGTGTGTGTGTGTGTGTGTGTGTGTGTGTGTGTGTGTGTGTGTAGGCCTACATTGATATCACATTATTGTGATTATTCCCACTGTTATTTTGACTTTGCAGATCCTAATGTTGGAGTTGAATGACGAGGCAGCAGAGCAAACCGTGGAGGCTAAAGTTGTGGATTTGCTGCAAGGCCAAGAAGGATTTCGATGGAAGGTAAAGAACAGAACTGATTACTCGCTATGTTTGTTTATGTTTTTACAGTGACATGCAGCAGCTGTAGACATGATGAAGGACGGATCTGGCCACTGTAACGTGACCCGTATGTTTTAGGCCCTGCATTGTGAAACTTTTTTTCAAGATGAGCTCTGTAAATTTTTTGTAGGTTCCTTTTGTTCATGTGTTTCTTTAATCTAAGTGTTACTGCATTACACTATATGTGACAGTGTCTAAACTGGCAGGCCTCAGCTACATCCATATACTGTATGGGTTCTGTACACATACACATATGCACTTATCAAGGGTAAGGTAACAGATTAATGAAATACTAGTATTTCACTCAGAGATGCTGTATAGAAGTTTTACTAAGTGCTACTCTGTCTCCAACAGAGTTTTCATTCTCTACAGATGCCTCCCCCAAAAAGTGTTTTTGCAGTCTGGCACAAAAATGATTGAATGAAAAATTTAATTAATGCAACTTTGCAACCAAGCTAAGTAGCATTAATAACTAAGAAATCCACCGTCTTGTCTAAATAAGGTCAGTTGTACTTCCAGAAATAAGCAGCAGCCAAAACTCAAAAGTTGAGACTTTGCAGAATCCAGAAACATATACAGCATACAAAAATAGGTGATCTAAAAAGGCTTTGAATGCTGCATTTACAATAATAACTAGCTTACTATGTGTGCTCTGAAGGCTATCATAAAACCTTTCTATTGTTACACCGTCAACTACATATTCCAGCATTTGATAGTCGTCTTCCTTCACAGGGCCACACTCAGCTGGATATCCAGGAAGACCCAGTGATGTTTCCTGCAGGCTTCCAGCCCTTTGCTGTTGTCCAGTGCCAGCCCCCAGCTGTGGTCACTGCTCTCACACTGCACTCAGAGTGGAAGCTGATAGCCTTTGGCACCAGTCATGGGTTTGGGTTATATGACTACCAACAGAAGAACAGTGTCCTGATCAAGTAAGGAGAAGCATTAAGAAAGATGTGAAACATGTGTGTCTGTACTGTGTTTACAACTTCCAGGAAATCTGTTTCATGTTAGTGGATGTGTTTTAGCCATCATTTTCTTTCGTAGTACAAAGAAGCAAGTTGGATGTAGCCAAGCTTTCAAACTTGCAAAATTTAAAACTGATACAACCATTCGTTAACTACTGGGTAGAAAATTCAATTCAGTTCAGTTCAATTTTATTTATATAGCGTCAAATCACAACAGTCGCCTCAAGGCTGTATATTGTAAGGTAGACCCTACAATAACACATACAGAGAAAAAAAAATCATTTATTGTCTTCTGGAAACGCCACACAGAAAGGCCTCACCCAGATGGTGGATTCAAAGCTTCTTGCTGCGAGGCAACAGTGCCAACCACTACCTGACAAAACCTGATCCAAAACAAATCTAAACCATAATGGCTATCATAATAACAGTTACGCAAACAAACTCAAGACAGTCTATGACAGCGACACACACCTGCCCTCTGTGGCTCTCAGCAGGTCTCTCTGACCTGCAGACTCATGCAGCTGGCCTTAGTACTATCTACCACCCACTCCTGAGACTGCATCAGCCCAGATACCACCCAGTGATCCATCAGTTATCACTCATGCATCAGGCCCAGGTCCCAGCTGTCATCCATCATGTTCAAAGGAAATCTTCAGTTTTAACACAGTACAAGTGATATAGGGATATAATATTTACCTAGGTGGATATTCCAACCTAATATATCAGTCACTCATGCTCAAGTCACCGTACATGTTATGAGAAAAACTGTAGCCTTGTTGTGTCTTTGTTTGTTACATTTTAGGAGTAAGCAAAGTATTTGTGCAGCTGTCTGCATATCATATGTGCTCATATTGTGTTTTCAAACTTTTAGGTGCACACTAAACCCCAGCGATCAGCTGGCCATGGAGGGTCCTCTGTCCAGAGTGAAGAGCATAAAGAAATCCCTGCGACAATCCTTTAGACGAATCAGACGTAGCAGAGTCTCTCTAAGAAAACAACATGTTAACACTGCTACTAAGGTAGAATCGTAAAAAGGACTCTGCTATCTGTTCCGTGTTTCTCCGTTGTCGCATGTGTTATATATATATATGTTGATATCTGCCTAAGCAGCTCCAAGAGGCAAATGCTCGTCTGGAGGCTGAATTGGCAGAGATGGAGCTGGCTCCCGTCCAGAGGAAAATTGAAGCTCGCTCTTCAGACGACTCTTTCACTGGCCTAGTACGGACGCTCTACTTTGCTGACACCTTCCTCTCTGACAGTGAGTTTGCGTGTTAAACGTGTACTATAGTACGTAAACAGCACTTGCTACAGAAATGAATAGTGGGCAGAACTTTGGGTTGTTTCCATTTCCTTACGTTTCTCCTCATTTTCTTGTAGGTTCACATAACACACCCTCCCTATGGGCAGGGACCAATGGTGGCTGTGTGTTTGCCTACATGCTTCGCCTTCCTTCTGTCGAGCATAGAGCAGATGAGCCTGTCACAGCTCAACTATGTAGGTTTAACATTGTGGTGGCCTGATCTCTCAGCTCTGCCCTCCTCTTGTAAAGTTGTCTCTGATTTGCGTCTTTATTTTCAGCCAAGGAGATTCAGCTGATGCACCGCGCTCCTGTTGTTGGTATTGTGGTGTTAGATGGACATGGGGCTCCTCTCCCTGAGCCCCTGGAGGTGGCTCACGATTTGGCTCGCGCACCTGATATGCAGGGCTCACACCACCTCCTGGTCGTGTCTGAGGAACAGTTTAAGGTTAGACTTGGAGCACTAGGGTTGCAGTGGGTCATTAAGATGTCTTAAAAAGTTAATATCAAAGAAAAGGTGGTCTTAAAATGTCTTGTTTCTTGTAAAAGTTTCTAAAAGTATTATGTTTTCAGGTAGTATTTTTAAAGACCTGTAGATTACAGCCCTCAAAAATAACAATTAAATCAGTTACTATTGGTTCATGTCACTTGTTGAGCATTGCTGTGTCTTAGCTTGTTCTATGCTCTAAAGAGAGTGCCATTTATGTGGTCTAGGCTCACAATTTTTAATATCGGTACAATTACTGTTATTTATTGAGGTGTAGGATAGAAATATTCAATCCTCTTAAAATTTTGTAAACTCTATACCAATGCATTTGTTTTGTGTGTGTTCAGGTTTTCACGCTGCCAAAAGTTAGTGCTAAGATGAAATTAAAGCTGACTGCTGTTGATGGCTCTCGAGTGCGAAGGGTAGGCATGGCCTGGTTTGGCAGCAGTCGGACAGAGGACTATGGTGAAAGCGGCTTGTTGGTCCTGACTAATCAGGGCGATGTTCACGTGGTGTCACTGCCACACGTCAAGATGCAGGTACATTACCCCTGCATCCGCCGAGAGGACGTCAGTGGAATCGCTTCTTGTGTTTTCACCAAGCACGGCCAAGGTATAGAGCCACCCGCGCACACGTTTCTTCCTCTGTTTTACTGGGGCTCTAAATACATTCTCTTTAGAATATAACATCAACAATACAGATGTGTCTCTAGCTCGACCTTCTAGAAGCAGTTTTCAGAAGTCATGTATGTCTTTGTTCTAGCCTAAAGTCTTTAGCCTTAATAGCCATTTGAAGAGATGGGGATCAGTAACAAGTTGCTGACTTTCCACAAAGAGCTAAAGAAACATGTGACAGTCAGAGAATTCAGAGTTAAAATATGTGTTAGTGTTTTGCAACAGCAATTTCTAAAGCAGCTTTTAAAAAAAATTTAGACACACACTTCAAAATAACTGCCCAAATAAGGAATGTGAGGTGTTTCAAGATGCCTGTACAACAAGACCTGATTTTAGAACGACTTTGATTTCGCTGACAGAAAAAGTACTGGCTTCATGGTGCTAAACTGGGGTTACAATTTGTATATTTTGTGATTTGTGTTAGTACATGCCGACAGACTTGTATTGTGGGATAAGTTAATCAGATTAAAAGATCCATTTACTGTCAGATTATTATGAAAATTGGATTGTTTCGTTTGTATGTTTGTTGGTTTTAAATGGAAAGAACCCTCATGCCGCTTACATCCATGCTGTTCAGTAACTGCTGCCATGAGTTTTTAGAAGTGAGATTTTCTTCCTAAAATGTGATTTTTGTCATGTTTTTTTTTGTTGCTGTTGTTGTTCAATGGACAGTCATTTTGCCAGTGCACTTATCTACATTCATAGGTCCCCCCACCCCCACCCTGCTTGCCACTTTCACTAAGCTCCTGTGTGCTGTTGTTCTCCCTCAGGCTTCTACCTGATCTCCCCGTCTGAGTTTGAAAGATTCTCTTTGTCGACCCGCTGTGTTGTGGAGCCTCGTTGTCTGGTGGAGGCTCCACTTCATTCTGGCTGCTCCAACCAACACCAGTCACAGCCAGATGGAGCTTCATCTACTCATAGGTACTCATAGGTTTCCTTGTTTTCATCATGTTGGTGTTTGCTGAATACAAAAGTTTGCTGTAGGGCAATTTAAGCCAGGTTGTTAGATGATGCTCGTAGTTACAACTTCCATGTTAAATGGGAGTAAATACATTGTAATAATGCCAAAAAGTATATAAAAGACAGTGAAAGATTGTAAAGACTGACCCTGGTGAAGAAATAATAAACATTAGATAGAAATCTCACTGATGTGTGCAGAGTGTGTAGATAGAAAGAAAAGTAAAAATGAAGTTAGCTTAAAAACGGTAGAAGCAAGACTGATATTGTGTAACACAGAAGTGCAAATTGCATTTATAAAAAAAGAGGAAAAGACACAGCGGTCTGGTCTGGTGGATTTGATGGCCGTCAGAGTGGCTGTCTGACGTTCTGATCCCTGGTTGGTGAAACTCACTCTTGGGACATAGAATGTCCAAAATAATGCGTGAGGCTGAGAGATGCCGACAGTCCTGACTCAGGCGTGCCTCAACACCTGGAAAAGTAAAACCGCTCAACTAAAGCGCATAGTTGAGTGGTAGCCTCCACCAGTGTGTGAATGTGAGAGTGAATGAATAGTGGAATTGTGAAGCGCTTTGGGTGCCTTGAAAAGCGCTATATAAATCCAATCCATTATTATCATTATTATTATTATTATTATTATTATTATTATTATTATTATAACATATTTTGCCTCCTCCTCCCAATGTATAAATCACTAGCTCCAATATAGTCAGTTATGCTGTTTTTGTGTCTTTTATTTTCTCTTAATGTTTATAAGTGACATCAACCTTCCAGTGACTGTAGATCGAAATCAGCCAGTATGGCTATATCAGCAAAATGTACTCATTTTACTTCCAGTTCATTGTCCCCTTTAACAAATATTTTAACAGGATATTAATATTACATGTTTTACATATTACAATAATTGATATGTTTTGACATCCCTAAGAATGAGCTGTCATTACTTTCTGTCTTCTCTGTCCTTTCAGAGCCAAACATGATGGTGAGGATGCAGGTAAAACAATTAAAAACAAATAATATCATTGTAACTAAATGTGCATGTGCCACATGAGTGTGTGTTCTGTGTTCTGTGGTGTTTTATAATTCTGTGCTATGCTAAATGTGCTGTCTGTTTTTACACGTACCTTGTCTATGGCTGACTGTGTTGACATGCCATCTATTGCAGAAAATGCAGCTAAACATGTTATGGAGCATGCTTTGCTGAATGATGAGAGTGAGTACAAAGGCAGAAGAATATCCTGAAATATAGACCTGGAAGGTCAACTAGTATGTCCCTCAGACATTGTAGTTGTTCAAAGGAAATCTGGCTTCAGTTGTAATTGAATTATACGCTACCTTTTTGAGCTGGTCCTGCAGCCTCTTACTCACATTGTCATTTGAAACATCCAAATCACATGTCTCAGAACCATGTATAAGCACAGAACTGATACAACTTCATTTTTTCCCCAGTGAGCTGGCTTGTTGTGACTGAGCTAACGCTCCAAGTCATGACAAAGTGTGGTGTTGTTAAAAGCAATAGTTGGTTACAGTTGTTTTTTTGTGTTTTGTTTTTTTCTTTTCAGAAGTACTTCAGGAGATCCAGAAGTCACTAGAAGGAGATCAAATGCAAGTATCACAAACACATTCTTTGTAGTTGTACAAAAATTACATAAGGAAAAAAAAGATGTTGTGCCATTCTCAGGCTGGAAACATGACTGCAGTGTGCAGCTAGATCTGCTTGTAAGAAGTGTTTGCAGCGTGCACCTCCGGGGGGGGAAATGTACTGAGCAACTTCAGTCTGTGTTGTTACTGTGATTGGAAAGCAGCGTTGCTGGTGTTAATCCCAGAACTCTGACTCTATTAATATTTTTCCCAATTAACCTTTAAAAGTAAACTGACGTAATTCTTTGGCTTAAAAAGCTACCAACATTTTTTTCTTGCAGATTTTCACTTGATATGTTACGAGAAAATTGAACTCATTCAACCCAGAAATTCTTCTAACATTTCTCCAATATTAACGACAAACATCACACTGTGCATTTTGACCATACATCTTTACTTCAATCTCAATCATCCCAATCATTTTCGAAAGTCTTGTGGTTTATTTAAATATAACCTTGCAAATCTAAGGCACGGTTCTATGTTCCTTATAGCGAGAAGAGGCTTTTGCCTAGTAAGCCTTGCAAACAAGCTGTACTTGCTCAGTCTTTTTCTAATTGTTTCATAAACTTTTAAAATGCTGAGATTATAGCTCTTGGGTTTTTAAAGGTGAACATGAAGTTGGACAGTTGTAACCAATCGTGTTAATGGATTCTGTTTTCTGTTTGTCAAAGGTCATTCCTGGAGAATAATGTGAAAAGTGCTGTTGCGTGAGGAGCCTATCTCAACAGCTGAGGTGAGACTTTGTAGCACTTTCTTTCCTACAAATGCAAAACATGCAATCAATTTTTGAATCCACATCTGTTGGTTCATGGTGTTTTTGTGCTATATCTTTACAGAGAACCGACATGTTGATATGTCTAAAGTGGACCTAAGCAACAGGTCTTGCCTCCATTTTAGCTGACACTACTGACACCTGACCCCTCTCCTCAAAGACTTACCCATCCCGCCATTTACTGATGCTGCGCTCACACTGGCCCCTTCATAGAGACACCAATAGGCTCTTGTCAGAAGGGCTTTCTGAACATCTAGGGCTTTGGCTCAGTAATGGTGCAAAGAATGTGAAGGAAGTGACACCACATGTGCCTAAGGACCATACACTGCTGCCATAGCATGGCCACACCCATTTAAACCCAAAGCTGGATGAGGCACATTACTGGCGTGTGACCGGATCCCTTCAAATCAGCCTTCTACATCTGACATGGAAGCTACTGAGCTGTTTTGTTTGGTATAAAACTGTTTGTTTAAATTCACTTGATGTTCTAATGGCCTTTATCACTACCAGCATCACCATCTAGTCACTGTACTCTGCTGTATATCTTACTGGCCTTCATCTCCTCATAGAGACATGAAGAAGAAATTTGGGGGATGATTTTAAATAACATTGATAAATATTTTGTGTAGTTTAGATTTGTGATTAGTTGTAGGTAAGCCCATTTCTACCTGCAAAAACATGTTGTGTCCAAAATTATAAAATGTTAAATTAACAAGTTGCTGTAAAAAAAACAAAAAACAAAAACTTGACAAATTCTTGAGACACTGAAACGCAGAGGAAACGCGCATTTCAGTCTGAATTAGGTGATACTATTTTAATTCGTTTGGGGTTCTTTGTTGGTTTTGTTTGTTTATACAACATTGATGTAACACAAATCATGCGTTTTCACTTCATGCATAGTCTTTATATTTTTTCATGTCTTAACTTTTTAAATTTATATCGACAAAGTTGGCATGATTTTAACTTTTAGTTTTTTTTCTTCTTATGTTAATGAGCCTCCATGCTATTCAGAAAATCAGTGGAACATGTTCAGTAATGCCTGAGATGATTGGTGTGTGCGTGCGTGCGTGTGTGTGTGTGCGCGTGCGTGCGTGCGTGCGTGCGTGCGTGTGTTATTTTGACTTATCATTTAATTAGCATTACACATTCTTTACACCACGCATAGGTACTGATGCACTACTGCAATTTTTGTGCATGTTCTGATTTTAATATTTTGCTTTTGCAGGTAATAAATACTGTAATTTAGGAATGTAATTATAAACTATTGTGCTGAAATATTTTTAATATATAAATGACTCTTTACCTGTGGATCTGTTGTAACTGGGGTTGGCTGCTATTTAGATCACACAAGGAAATATTTTGGTACTATCTCTCACAATGCTGGGTGTTTTAGCATCAGTCTAGAATCTATTTTTGTAGTGAAAGAACCCTAATTTTTTTTTAATAACTTTACACTACAGTTTTCTAGGATAAAATTGTTTTTTCAAAGAATGACTGTCTGGCTCTTTTTTTTTTCTGCACAGTATCTCCTTTTTTTTTTTTTTTTTTAATAAAAACATAGCACAAAATGACTATGCTGCAATGCAATACTTGATTGTGAGTGTCCCCAAGTCTTCAAGTCTATGTGTGCTTGGTTCAGAGACCACATGTCAACTCAGAACCCATTATTTGACCCTCATGAACTGCCAAAGCTCAGTACTCCTTTTTTGGTATCTTTTCCTCCAAAAAGCCTAGCTACAGTGTTATGTACTTGCAGAGCATAACTCTCTGGTAAAATCTATACAATAAAGGAGGAATCAGCTGTCCTGCGTGATCCAAGTGTTGATAATAATAAAAACTTTATCTATAAAGCACTTTCAAACAAAGTGCTGAACAGGTATTTGAAGATAAAAAAAAAATTATATATATATATATATATATATACACACACACAAACAAACAATACAGTTTAAAAACTGATAAAGCAAAAGGGAAAAGTGATAAGAACCAGGAAAAACTTGAGGCATAGAATTAATACATGTAGGACAGGGGGAACAAGCGTGTCTTTAACACTTGGATTTGAAAACCACAAAGCATGCCTGCCTAATATCTTGAGCGAGGTTGTTCCACAAAAAAAAAAAAGCAGGCTTCCTAGTAGTTTTTCTTCTGGTTTTAGGAACCTTTAGAAGGCCAGTATCCTGAGATCGGAGAGCACAGGGTGGAACATAGAGGTACAAAAGGTCAGAGAGATATGAAGGCGCCAAACCATTTAATACCTTGTAGGTGAGCAACAGGACCTTAGAATCTGCTTAAATCTGGCAAGGCAACCAGTGAAGAGATTTCAGTACTGGATAATGTGCTCAAAATTCCCAGTTTTGGTTAAAATGTGAGCATCTGCATTTTGTACCATCTGTAAACCTCTAAAACTTTTCTTCCGTAACCCAGTAGGGAGAGCATTACAGTAATCAAGCACAAAGGCACAAATTCATGGACAACAATCTCTGCACTGCCAAGTGATAAAACTTGTCTGATTTATTCCTTAGGTGATAAAAGACAGTCTTTGTTGTCTCTTTTACATGAGACTTGAAGGAGAGCTCTACCAAGCCACACGCCCAAGTTTTTTACCTTTACCTTTAAATTTTAAACTGCTGGCTAAGGGTAAACATAAATTCAGTAAAATTATCATTCACATCGGCAGTAATGACACCTGGTTATGTCAATCGAAGGTCACTGAAATTATTACTGAATTGGTGCTCAACTTTGCCAAAACAATGTCGTACTCTGTAGTTTGTTTAGCCGCATGTCCTCCTTAAATTGCTGGCTGTCTAAGTGGTGTCCCAAAAACGATGTGGGCTTTATAGATACTTGAGAAACTTTCTGGAGGAAACCTGGTTTTGTTAGGAGACACGGCATGCATCCCACTTTGGATGGAGCAGCTGTCATTTCTAGAAATCTGGCCAAATTTATTAAAGCCCCCAAAACGTGACTATCCAGAGTTGGGACCAGGAAGCAGAGTTTCAGTCTTACACGCCTCTCTGCAGCTTCACACCTCCTGTTATCCCCTCAAAACCCCATCCACTTAGAAACTGTCAGCTCCCAAACAGACTTAACTTAAATGTGAAACCAGCAAAATACGACTTAAACATAAAAAAATCACAAACCTGGTTACAGCAGGATCATTATGTTAGCTTAAATGAATCAACATCCCCGAGTCATACTAACTATCAGAATCGTTGAAGCACAGGCTGAGGGGTGGTTTGGCAGTGGTTTGAACTCACCTCTCTGACATCGCTCACAGAGTAGTCTCTCACATTCAATTGTACATTTCTGAAGCCCCTGGAACCCCCCACTTGTTGTAGGTCAAGCAAGCTGGTTATGGGTCCACATTTACTGGACCCATAATAGCATCTTAGGTTGGAACAATTTCTGTCACCAGCACTGTTTAAAATCGTGTTTGTCTCCTTCAGCCATCTGACACCTCAGATCTGTCTTCAGGTATTGCTGTTTATAATTACTTAGTATTCAGAAAAGGCTCTCTCTCCCACCTCATTGTCCCTACGATTGTGCAGTAGATTTGCTTTCAGGTGCTTCGCTTACTCAGTGATCACTGATCAGGATTCTCCAGTGTGACAACCAAGACCAAGGTATCGGTCCACCTAACCATCTTTTTGTACCTTCCAAGTAATACACGGTGCCCAGACCACCAGGTATACCTGCCACCCTGGTAAGAACTGCACCATCTCTTTTCTCCAGTGCCTGTTCTGGTCCCATCTTTAAGGATGTCAAAGACTACCTGTCTCCATGTCCTGCCTGCATGTCCTGAACACCACTTGAAGTGTGTGTAGGACAGGTAGAGGGAGGAAGTACTGGTCAGCCCGAGTTTCCCTCTGATCCCTCCCTTTCCTCTGATATGTCGGGTTTAGAAAAGTAAGTAAGTAATCACAGCAGTTGTAGGCTTGGGTTCAGTCTCTGGCTGGGGTCTGGAGCAACCCTGGAAGAAACCCTGCTTCCTCATGGAAGTCTAAGAAGATTGGACAAGGACTGCAAGTCACCTCATCCTTAGTCTATAGCCAAGGAGTATGCTGACTGACATCACCAGGTTGCTGGTCCAGGTCCAGGGCCTGGTCCAGCAAGAAGGAGAACAACTAGTCTGAAGTGATGGAGACTCCTGGTGTTTGGCTCCTGCATATATACATTATTCATTTTTTGGGTGCTGCTACAGATTCCCAGTAGCTTGTCACTATTGTTTGGCTGATCAACTGAAATGCAGACTGCAGCATTGCCAGCCCCCCTCTGTTTTAAGTAAGAGTCATTGTGTCCCATCAGCTGTTCAATTTAATATTAAATATAAATTGTGCGATCATATACATTACAATACAAACCTTTCACTATTAATAAAAGGCCAACATTTTACATTTAAGTAATCATTTTACCTTAAAATGACATGAAAACACAATTTCTAACTGATTATTACATATAACAAACAGGTTAATAATGTATAACAACAGTGAGTAATCATGAATTATGACTTTGTAAAATCTTTGAGATAAAATATCTGTTTTCTCTATAACTTACTGGGACATGCAACAGCTGAAATTCTGTAATTTCGTAATGGAATGTCGGATTAATTCCATCCTGGGTAGGTTCCTCTACACGTATAGCACGTAGAGGAACCTGTTTCTCACCGTGCTCTTTCTCATCCTGTCCATCAGCTCATATTGTTAATGTAACCCAGATGGAAAAAACACAATTAGATGACACAAAAGATAAAAGAAGAGACAGTATTTATTTTCTTTATTTTACTTGTTTACATCAAGTGTTACAGTTCCTATCACAATCGAATGCACTGCTCAGTTCACCCCACATGGTGTTGCCTAGCTCTCAACAGCCAATCAAAGCCTACATTCAGCCTGTCAACTGGGAGGTGAGGTGAAGGCACGTGATTCTCCTGGGTTTCTTTCTGATCTCAGCCATGGTAGTGAAGGCAACTACTGAAAAGAAGACCTAGAAACACAGAGAACAAAAAGAGGAAAACCCAGAGTTAAACTGTGGGACAAGAAAAAAACAGAAAGCCAGCCTACTTACCTACTGGAAGCCTGGAGCTGAGTGAGTGAATGAAGGAGAGAACTAATGTCAAAAACTTGAAGATTCTTACCGTCCTTGTCCATGCTAATGCTAGCACAGGCTTACCACTTACTATCCAGCTGGAGAGCTGCTGCTGTTCTGATACTGGTGTGTTCGGCTTTGAAACACAAAGCAACTGTGAGAAACATTTTCCTGTAGCTGCTCTGAAGCTATTTTTCCTGTCGGTTCACTGTGTGCTAAAGAGAGTAGTGGTAATATTAAAGTTATGAGAGTGAACTAAAGTGGATAATTGTTATGGTCCTGGGCCGTTTGATTACTCCCAGCTGTGTTTCCCTACTGTTTCTTCCCTCGTTATCCCTCTATGTATTTAAGCCTTTTGTCCTTCTCTGTGTGTTGCTGGTTTGTCTGCTTATCATCCATGTCATTTCTCCAAGTAAAAGATGAATAAAAGGATCCGTAACTCAAAATTTCAAGTTTTCCCTAAATTTTGAAGTAATAACTCGAAATTTCAAGAAAATAACGCAAAATTTTAACTTATGGATCCAGCTTTTAGTCTGAGACCTGTTTTTTTTCCCCCCTGAGACCTGATGACTGTTTGCCTGACACCTGAGACCTGACATTTTTTTGTCTGAGACCTGACTACTTTCTTCCTGAGACCTGAGGGCGTCGTAAAAATGGCGACCGTGGATCAAGAGTTAGGAGTTCGCCTTGTAATCGGAAGGTTGCCGGTTCGAGCCCCAGCTCAGACAGTCTCAGTCGTTGTGTCCTTGGGCAAGACACTTCACCTACTGGTGTTGGCCAGAAGGGCCGATGGCGCGATCTGGCAGCCTCGCTTCTGTCAGTCTGCCCCAGGGCAGCTGTGGCTGCAACTGTAGCTGCCTCCACCAGTGTGTGACTGGGTGTGTAAACCGCTTTGGGGGGACTAGTAAAAGCGCTATACAAATATAGACCATTTATGTTCCACGTCTCCACTCAGGTTTTTGGCTCCTTTGTATTACTTTTGCATGGTGATGGTCAAACAAAGCTTTCTGAAGCATTAAAGCTTGTGTTGAAGCTTCATTACTTGAAGCTTTTCAACACAGTCATCTCTGGGGACATCTGGTGGCCAAAAATATAAAGAACAGCTTGAAGCTACAAATTAAAGTGTACTGCTTCATTATGACTGCCCACTCCACAGAGTGGAGTTCGCAATCCGGTCTGATGTTGGGCCATCTTTGTGTTGCTTTGAAAATGTAATTTTTGGGGGTGAAAAATTGTTTAATTGCTTAACAAAAAAATTTGATCAATAAACATTCCTTGTTTAAACATGGGCCATGATTTGGTCTTTCTTTGCTTGTGACTCCTTGATGTTGGTAAATACAATAGATGAAAAATACATATAATATACATATAATAACGTACAACACATTATGGAGTGTGCTTCTGTT